CATGAGGTGAAGGCTGCTCCAGACCTGAGCATTTATTGTTTGTAAGCAGATTTAACTTGCTTACAGCTGGGAATAGTGCTGACACCATGACAGATCGTGAGACAGCTTCCCTCCTCTTCACTGGTAACTCCATATTCAGTAAGCAAAATAGGATTTTGAGCAGTTTGAGCAATTGCTGTTGTGAAGAGGAACTAATGCCTGCATTCGCTTGCTGCTGCTCATGGGTTTTTGTCTCTCCTAGCAACCCGTGTTCAATTCCCTCACAAACTGCTTGGGACCACGGAAGCTCCTGCACAGCGGCAAGCTGTACAAGGCGAAGAGCAGCAAGGAGCTGTATGGCTTCCTGTTCAACGACTTCCTGCTGCTCACCTACATGGTCAAACAGTTTGTCTCTTCTGGCTCTGATAAACTGTTCAGCCCCAAGTCCAACTCTCAGTTCAAAATGTACAAAATGGTGAGTGCAGGAGGTGCCCCATGGTCCTGTTGATTCGGAGTAGTTTTTCTTTCAGTCCTTTGTTGCTTCCTTTACACGGTGATCTGGTTGTTCTTCTTGTATCCTTCAACTTTCAAACACCCTGCAGAAAAAAAACATGTACTGAAATATCCTTGTAGAGTTTCAGCTTAATGTCGGGGTGATGACGCCACAGCAATGTTTGCTTTTCTTTCAGCCTGTTTTCCTTAATGAAGTCCTGGTGAAATTGCCCACGGATCCTTCAAGTGATGAGCCAGTTTTCCACATATCACACATTGACAGAGTTTACACACTTAAAACTGACAACATCAATGAGCGGTGAGTAGAGCAAATGCGAATTTGAGGTTAACCTTTCTGAATGTAGCTGGGGGCTGTGTTCCTGGTGAGCAGGACAAGGCTTAGCTTCCCCGTCAGGACATGAACTCCTCTGACTCTTGTATGAATTACAAGCTTTCTGCCACTTTGTTCTGCTTGTAGGGCAGCTCTTGAAAGCCAGCATTGCATCTACTGCTCCCAGATGTTGTAGTTGCATAGAAGAGTAGTTTAGGTCTGCCAAGTCCTGCATCCCGTAGGATTCTTCCTCAGTGCTGGTCAGTCTTCCATGTGACCCTGCAATTTGTAATAAAACAGACATTTCAATTTCATTTATTTAGGCTCATATGGAAGCGTGCCATAAGAATTAATGTGAAACCTCTGCATCTTTGGTCCCTAAGCGAACTTGACTTGTGATGCCTCTGAAATCCAGTAAATAAAAAATGGCAAAAGAGGATGGGGCAGAGTCGCTGTTGATGAGGGATTTCCTGCCTATGGTACAACTCTTATGTTGGGATTGCTCTTTGCAGCACTGCCTGGGTCCAGAAAATCAAAGCAGCATCCGAGCAGTACATTGAAACTGAGAAGAAGAAACGTGAAAAAGCATATCAAGGTACTGAGTTCTGTCTTCTTCCCTCACCCACCCAGACCCCCACTGTGTTCTGAAGGATGCTGCACATCTCTGGGGGGAATCTCTCTTCAAAAACGGCCAGTTTTTGTGGTTGCAGCCAATTTCTGACTTCTTCGTTTCCAGCTCGCTCACAGAAGACCTCGGGAATAGGACGTTTGATGGTGCACGTGATTGAAGCAACAGAGCTGAAGGCCTGTAAACCCAATGGTAAGTGATGGAAATAGTCTCACATTCCTGCAGGGTTTGGAAAGGCTCATTAAGAGCAGTCTGGCAATTTGGGAAATGTGGTTACAGCTGCAGCTCCTGGACATAACAGCCATTATTTAGCTTCAGAGGAGTGAATGGAGAAACAGCTCTGTGCTGCTGTAAGATCTGTGGATATGTAACCCCACATCATCTGGACAGCAGCGTAGATGTGTGTCCAAGCAGCCTGTAGACAGACAGGGAGGTTTTGGCACTTCTGGGGTGTCTCACTGCTGCTTCTCTGCTTAGGGAAGAGCAACCCGTACTGTGAAATCAGCATGGGCTCTCAGAGCTACACAACGAGGACCATGCAGGACACCTTGAACCCCAAGTGGAACTTTAACTGCCAGTTCTTCATTAAGGATCTGTATCAGGATGTCCTCTGTATCACCATGTTTGACAGGGATCAATTCTCTCCTGACGGTAAGTGCGTGAACATTTGTTTTAGGAAAATAAAGTGTTCTTGTGACTTGGGATGCATGGATTTTCACCAACAGTCTGTAGGTACAATTGCTTTCTGCAGAATGTTGTGTAAAAAGCAGTGCTTCCATACTGAAGAGGCTGAATAGCTGCCCAGAGCCAACAGTCAGATTTGATCCCACTCAGGCTTTTCTATTAGGAACAGAACTATTTTTTGTAGAGCTGGGAGCTGAAAGGAGTTTTTGTCTGTCATTGTAGGCAGTGCCTGAGAATAAAGTACTAGGGTACATTTACACAGCAGTTACTTGATGAGCTTTCTTTTGCTTGGAGACCAAACATTTTTTTGCAGTCTGCTGCTGGTAGTCTTTAAAAGGTGAAGTGATACAGAAGCCTAAATAAAAGTTGTCTGAGCCAAAGTACTTAATTTTTTTATGATCTTTGTAGCAGTGCAGCTGACATGTAAACGGGTGCCATCGCTTAGTTCTGACCTTGAGACTGTCACTTGTCATAAATTTTAGATGTCGCAGACAGAACATTTCAAGTGTGATAGTACAGAATCATTAATGCTGGAAGTAACAACTGAATAAGCAAAAGTAGTGCCTGAAATCAAAGTCTGTGTGGTAAGGCTCCCCTGTCTGACAGGGAACAGCTTCCCCTTCAGGTCCGCACGGTGCTTCCCTGCGCAGCACGTAGCACTGCTGATTAACGTCACGCTTTCAGATTTCCTGAGCTTCATGTCTGTGCTTCATGACATCTCGTGCTTGTTTTTGTACAACAGATTTTTTGGGTCGCACTGAAATTCCGGTAGCAAAAATCCGAACAGAGCAGGAGAGCAAAGGCCCCACAACCAAGCACTTACTGCTGCATGAAGTGCCGACCGGCGAGGTCTGGGTCCGTTTTGACCTGCAGCTCTTTGACCAGAAAACACTCCTCTGAGAGCACTTCTTTAATTTATGAAGGACAAATGAAACTGACGGATTGAACTTTGGGATAAGATTCCTTGCCCTAAGCTCCTCATTAAGCAATATACCTGCTGCTTTCCCATTCCCTCAGTCATTGGTTGCATTTAGTTCCTTGCTGCGTTCAAAGCTGTCGTTCATCTATGCAAACACAGACGTTACTGTGTGTACAGGACTATAGCTCAGTGCCTTTTTATTACATTGGAATATGTTGGTTTTGGATGCCAATGTTTTCATTTTCAGGGCCATAAAAAGTATTAGGTAGAAACGTGGCATCAAAACATATGTGTATTTTACCACATAGTCTAATGAGCAGACTGAGGAATGGTTTAGTTTCGCACTAGAATCATTCTGTTTGAAATCTGAAAAGTGATATCCACTGGAATCCTCCTGTCTCAGGATGATAGTTTTAAAGATTAAATGCTGAAGAAGCCTTAGCACTGGAGAGTTCTCCAATCTCTTGTATATTCTTTAAGAATCAAGTGTAGTTCTTCACTTGACTTAGTTCTGCACTGAAATCAGTAACTGCAACTTGATTTTTCTTTTTGCTTCAGTTGGATGAATCGTTCTCTGCTGAGACAATGTCATTGTAAAAAAAGAACTAGAAACAATGTTTTAAATACTGTGACTCACAATAATGTGGAAAAATAGTTTCCAGCTTTTGGTTTTCCTAAATCTAAGTTATTTGTGTACAGTTCCTTGGTTTTGCAGACCTCCATGTGAATCTTGAATCTTTGACATTGCCAACATTGTATATAGAGAGTAAAATATAAGTTTATTAATGTAATTTGTCTACAGATGTCTATTGATGCATAGTGACTTTTAAAAAGTATATTTTATTGTACAAGAGAATGTGAAATAACGAGAAAAACTTACTTATGGAATTAAATTCAAAAGAAGTTTGTTAAAAGTTTAAGATGTTTGCTGAGAGGAAGCGCTAGCACAGCATTCATCTGCAAGATGAGACTGGCTGCAAGCAAAACCCTTCTTCGGGGCACCAAAAGTAGGGCTGATCTAAGGAAGATTGTTGTAAAGGGTTTGATACATGGTAACCATCGTACTGCCTCCTTCAGCTGCTTTGTTGAAAAAGCACAGCATGCAATTCGGAACAGCAGGTGCCCTTGTTTTCTGTGGGTGCCGCAATACCTCCCGGTGTCTGACAGTTCCACACTTGACTGCCATCTGTGTACCCTCCTGTTACAGAGCTGAGTCAACCTCTGTTACTTTTAACAGTTTTCTGTGGTTCAGTATTTCTAATCCTAAATAAAACTAAATCTTGGCAACGCTTGAGAGATCACGTTTGTGCTGTGAGAGAGCGCGAGGAGCTGCTGCTGTTCTCAGGTTTCAACATCAGAGCTTCTGTGCAATTACAGCAGTGGGGAGGTGGGGACAACAGCAGAACTGTGTGCGCATCGCTAGGGCACCAGCAGCTCCATGCAGTATTGCAACACCTGAAGCTAAATGCAAGCTTTGTCATTCCCCTGTCCACTGCTAGAAGTAATAGCAGCAGTATTTCAAACATTTCTTTGACTGCTGGGTAACAGTACTGCAGAAGCACTACTTTAAGACAACGAGTTTATTGCAGTTTTCCAGAAGACCTGGCCCACTGTCACTTGCTTTAGCAGAAGACCTAACATGTTTTGCAGACAGTACCTTCTGATGGCTGTGCTTGCCACTGCAGTGAGCTGGAGGTGACATCATCTGCTCTCACTGTCTTTGTGGTGGTCTACAACTCTCAGCCTTCAAACAGAAATAAAAACTATTGTCAGCCAACCCAAGAGCAAGGCTGCCATCGCCCTGCACGGCTTCCTGCACTGGCTGTTTCCCACACCGAGTTACTCCAGGAAATGCTTGTCTTTGTGACCAGTTTCCCTTCTAGAACTTGCTGTTAGCCCATAATTGCTCTAACAATCATGCTGGACAAAGGCTTGGGCCAGCAAGAGGCATAAAGCTCCAGTACATGGGCTCAGGGGAGAGAGTGGGCCGGCTTCAAGGACATCCGGCTCCCAGCTGAGCTTTGATGCTCTTGTCACTGTGGAACAGAACTTCCTTTAACTGTTGTGCACTGCACCAGCAGGCTGGGGAGCTTTCAAAAAGAGGTGAATCACTGGGAGTGTTTTATCAAATACTTTACAATGCAGCCAAACGAGAGGCTGGTGTAACTGCTCTCTCAAGAAACACAGCAGCTCTTACCTCTTTGTTCTGTGGAGCTCACTAGCAATGTAGGTGTGTGGAACCTTCAGCCACTCGATCGCATCCATGCGCTGCCGGCCCAGGGGAAGCAGGGGCAGTTCCTGCAGCTCTCTGATAGAGCATGGTCTTCCTGAGGGAAGGAAACAGATGCTTGCCAAGGAAGGGGGAGCTTCCCCCAGCATGAACAGTTTCTAAAGGACACTGATGATTTATCCTACCTGTCTCACACTGTTTGACGATGCCTGTCTCAATAAACTTTTTCTGAACAGCTTTTAACAGAGGATCCTGTAAAGCTGGTATTGAAACCTGTGACAGAGACAATAATTTCAAGCCTAAGCACATAGACAAGGATTATATGAGAGTGTCTCAAAGACCGAAGTCAGACAAATGTAAACTTCAAGAAACAGTTGGTTAGCAGGGAGAAATATCAACCTCAGTTTTTATGAGCAAAAAGATGAGGGGCAGACCTAAGTGGCCCCAGTTCGTAGAAATGCTGAGCATTGCAGCTCCTCCTTCAACACTGTCACAAACGATGAGACACAGATGGTCCCGAGGGCTCACAGCACCCAGGAAGGATTTAGAGAATTGCATTTTGTGGATTTGTGCCTGAGTCCTTCCTACCTGCCTCTCCCACCCACTACACGAGGCTTTGGTGCATTTGATATGATCTCCACAGCACAAACCACCCCACCTTCCAGCAGTCTGTGCACGTCTTCAGGAACAGTGGGTCATATTCTGATGGGTCATAAGCTTCCAAAGCCACATAGCCCTGTAGGAGAAGTAGGTTATGTTGTAGTAAAACAGGCAAATACCTCCAGCCATTTTAATTGAATGCAAGCATATATACATTGCAAGTACTTTCATGAAGCATCAGACATCCAGACTAAAAGGTTAGTTATTACTAGGGCAGTTCAGGTAGTGAAAATTCTGTTCAAGGGAACAGGTTTTGACCAAAGAAGGAAAAGAAAAAAAGCACCTAAGCCCCACCGGCCTCATTTTTTCCTTTAAATGAAGGTTTTCAGCTTTCCTGTGGGCACAGTTCACCAGGGGTCACAGCAAGCAAGGGATGCAGCTTTTGGCTCTCTGCCCTATATAATTCTTTTTGGAGATCAGCAAATGAGAACTGGAAACATCATGCTTGGAACAGTCAGTAGGGCTGCAACGTGAGGCCAAACCAACCAAACCAAAGCCCTGGGATCTACAATAAGTGTAAGATATCACTGTATTGAAGGCCCTGCAGTGGGCAAGTGAATCAGGCCATCGGGCCTGCTGCTCCAGACTCTCACAGAGCACCTGGGCAGCCCTACAGGACCCGAGCTGCTGCTGAAAACAAAGACTGCTCAGGCAGGCCACATAGCAGCTTCTCACCTTCTGCCAAACTTTAAGAACTAACATGCCTTGATTTGCAAAGTTTTAGTGCCACCCGTTGGTTAATTACTGTATGTCATCCTATTACAGTAGTGGCTGAAGCCTCAGTGCTGGGTGCTGTGCCACAAACTCCAACTCAGCATGTATGGCCTTGGGACTGATAAAAAAAAAGAGAGAAGAGAAACTGGACAAATTTACATAGAAAGGGGGAATAGGCTGATGAAAGAAACAAAAAAGCGAGATCTGGGGTACAAAACAAAAAGTCTACAAAGCAAGGAGAGGTGCAAGAGAAAATGGGCAAAGAGAAGGGAGGGAAGAAAAAATTGCACAGCCAGAATTTGGGATGTGAGCTGATCTGTAGAAGTGTCTTAAGTTCGAAGTGTCTGAAGTTCTGCAAAATGTGCCATATGCTGCCATAGTTAATGCAAACATATGCAAATAACGATGCTGTTATTCTGGAGGGCTGCAGCCCACTGAGGCAGGGAGAAAAGGTGGGGGTTGGTCATTGATGGTGCACTTGTTTGGGGTGAAGAACACTCCAGTGCAACAGCCACTGTGTTCAAAGGTCACCCAGCAAAACCCTGACCCAACACAGGGGTTTGCGATGTGCACAGTACATCTTACAGATCCAAATGGCAGGACCTGGGCTGAAGGACTGATTCAGCTTTTCATCACTAAGTGCAGTTTAAATGCATGGATCTTTCACATCAGACTTTTGAAGAATAGATTGTTTGTTCTCATTTCTGGATAGGAAGCTTGTTTACAGTCTCATAAATCCCCTGTGCAGTGGTTTCCACTGACAACAAAAGCCTGCCCTGTATAAAATACTATGCTATTTGTGGCAGGAGATCTGACTGCCCTTATTGCTCTTAATATCCAAGTCAGAGGTGCAGAAAGTTGAGTCGTGGAATTTCTTAAAGAATTATATGAAATTCAGAGCAACAACAAGAAGCATTTCCTACAGTGACTGCTGGCCTTTGCTTTCACCTGATGGAGCTCTGTTGATGGAACTCACAAATGAAATCCACTGTTTGACCATTCTCAGAACCCAGTGTGTGCTCAGTGCACTGAGCAAAGCAATTGCTTTTTTCTGATGGTGAATTTAAACAACTGGCTGGGATGATGCCACAATCAGAGGTCCTCAGGAAGAGTAAGTTTTAAATAAGGCACATTGGAACACGAGGCTGGTCAACTAACAGCAAATAGCAGCCAAGACCCCAGTCTCATCCACAACTCTTTCCTTGGCAGAAATTTGTATCTTGATACCTTCTTTTTACAGTAGTTTAAATAGAGAGACAGTTGTTCTTCCCTCCTCTTCTGTATTTCTTCTCTCGACTGGCTATCCATTTTGTCCTCAATTTTCCACAGCAGCGGCTCTGAAACATCCTCAAGCCATTTCTTGTATAGGATCTCCTTCTTTCTCAGATTTAAGAAATCCTGGTGCCTCAAATACCTGTCCACCTCCTGTGTGACAAATGGAAAAAACAAGCACACAACACGTCAGCCAAGCAATCATCTTAATGAGTCCACAGATGAAGCTATGCAGCACGGCTGACCTGATCCGACTGGGCAGCGCTGCCCTCCCTGCCAGCCCTCCCTTCTGCTGCTCCCTCTCTCCTGTTGGCTCCAAGCCCTTCCTTGCATGGGCTCCAGCAGCCACACTCGCTATTTTTTTAACCATAGTGCTGTAGTGGCTAAAAAGTATTCTTTTTTTTTTTTTTTCCCCCCCCCAGGTTACTGGGAAAAGGATTTTTTTTCCTCTAGCAGTGGCAGCCTGTTGGATTGGCTCAGCCCTGCTGTCCATTATTCAGTCTCACCGCCATCCATCTCATCCACAGAACAAAAGTTAGGTGCAAACGGGCACTCAGCCACTGAAGAGGGAAAACTGTGAAACTCACATTTAGGGTTGTCAGTTCAGTCCTGTCCTCAGGAAGTCAGAAGGATGTATTTCTGAATTTAGTTTTCCAGGAATATAGACAACTGACGTTTTATCATAATTCATTGACTTTTACATACAGAAAACTAACAGCAAGCAAGAGAAAAAGAGATCATTTCTTACTCTCACAAAGTAATTTTCTCTGTCTAAGATGGACTGAGCAGAAGCGATGATGTCTCTGCTATCATCAGGAGCCACCTGGCAAAACAGCAAGAAAAGACATGAAGTAAAAACAGGGAGTTACAGCAGCTGTCAGAATTACCTTAGATCAGAATAGTTACTTGAGCTGGGATTTAAGGCATGTTACACCCTAACACACCCTAACACAGCTGGCAGAACAGCACAGAGCTCTGTGAGCCTTGCTCTGAATAGACAGATTAAACTCAAGTCATGTTTTGGAAGAATGAAAGCGTTCACGTTCATTGTGATCAGCCCAGGCACCTCCCTGGATGCTCCTCACTGGGGCTGCGCCACCACTGGAGCCAGGCCACTTGCTCAAGTGTGTCCAAAACAAAAAACCAAAACCAAATAAACCCCAACATTTAGGTTTCATGTGAAAACTTTCTGAATGTCACAGAACTCAACAAAGGTACCTCAAAGTGCTCAATAAAACCCAGTTTTATTATAGTACCCCAGCTCAATAAAAAACAGATTAATATTTTCAGTTGTTTGTTCTCCAACGACAAACACAACTCAGACCTCCAGAACTTTGCAAACAAACATCTTTTATTCCTCCCTTCATCCCTTTCATTCTATTCCACTCCTCCACTCGTACCTTCGTGCGATAGAAGTCCTTCTGTATCAGGCAGTATCTGCTAGTATTTGTCTTCCCAGAGAATCTACTGCAATCAAATGTATTTGCTGCGTTGCTCCTTGCTGGTGCTGTGGAGCACCTCTGGATAGATAGATAAATAAATAAATAAATAAATAAATAAAGGAAAAAGTCTGCATGAAAAACATCTACCTGCTTTATAAAGATCAGGCTCTCATCTAGGTTCCACAGTCAGACTACAGACTGGGATACAAGAAGTTCACTTAAGATCCTCATACCATGCTGCCTTGCAAACCTCATTCTCCCAGGGCAGGAATTACAACAAACCTTTAGCACTTTTTTCACTGTAGCAGTTCTCTGCAGTACTTCAGGAGAAAACATTTCACACACACAAAAAGGAAGCACTGGAGATAGGGATATCCCAAACTAGAGCAATGATTTTAACAGTGAGAGCACTCTTTGAATAGATACACATACAGGTTCAATCCTACATAGCTGTAATGGAAGCGGCTCTTGTGGAACCAGACCACTGCTTACTGGGTCAACAACCTTTACATGCATGCATCAGACAGGCTGCAACATCACTGCAGCACTGCATTTACTGATGCTTCCACCAGCACTAACGTTTGGGGTTGCTCTGGAAGATTTGCACAGTACTTGGATTCTAGACAGCCCAACAATAAATGCACAGGAAAGGCAGAGCACATGAATCTTCCCATAATACACATAGACTCCATCAGAAGAGGGGTGGCCAGCAGGGACAGGGAGGTGATTGTCCCCCTCTACTCTGCTCTTGTGAGGCCCCATCTGGAGTACTGAGTCCAGGTCTGGAGCCCCCAGTACAAGAAAGACAGGGAGCTGTTGGAGAGGGTCCAGGGAAAAGCCACAAAGATGATTGGGGGACTGGAGCACCCCCCCTACAAAGACAGGCTGAGGGAGCTGGGCTTGTTCAGCTTGGAGAAAAGAAGGCTGTGGGGTGACCTCAGTGCAGCCTTTCAGTACCTAAAGGGAGCCTACAAACAGGAGGGGAATCGACTCTTTGAAAGGGCAGATAACAGCAGGACAAGGGGAAATGGTTTGAAGTTGAGGGAGGGAAGATTTAGGTTGGATGTCAGGGGAAGTTCTTTACAAGGAGAGTGGTGAGGTGCTGGAACAGCTGCCCAGAGAGGTCATTCAAGGTCAGATTGGATGGGGCCCTGGACAGCCTGATCCAGTATTAAATGTGGAGGTTGGTGGCCCTGCATGTGGCACAAGGGTTGCAGATTCATGATCCCTAAGGTCCCTTCCGACCCTGGCTATTCTGTGATACACATCCCTGAGCATTCACAGGGTGGAGACAAAACCACAGGGATGTCCCTGCTCACTGGGATGCCTGATGAGCTCAGGTGCTGGTCAGGGAAGGCAGGTCTGTGGGTACTAGCTGCCAGTGCCAAGAAGGAAACACAGATATAGCCTAATGCCCTAGGTTCTCAGCTATACACAAGTTTCATGTTTCATTTTCACTCTTTGCATCAGAATTCACAGCTGAAGGAATGCAGAGCTGCTCACCTGGTACAGCTTATGCTGACAGAGTTCTGCTGCAGGTTGTGGACCTGTAGCCTGGGGAGCAGTCTCTGAGCTACGCACAGTATGCATTGCAGGGGGAGGCTGCAAGAAGCATTAAAACATTCCAAACCATATGAAACTGTTCCATAAACACCAAAAAGCTAGTTGTCCTACAATGCCAGACAAACACGCAACAAAGCTCCGTAGGAATTCTAATTGCCAAAAATACCAACCGTCATTTTGTATCACTGTAAGTGAAAAGCAGGGAGACAAAGTATCACGTTTAGAGGCAGATAGTCTGGCACTACCTGTCTGTTCTCATCTTCCTAATGTATGGATGGTAAATTTTGTTTTAAAGAACAAAGTGAACCACAAATTACTCCAGAATGCTTCCAGCTTTGAAAACATTTCAGAGTCATCAGGTTCTGCCTTGTGACTTTTACTTCTTTCCTTCGTGCCTTTCTCAATTACATAAAAGTTACCTTTAAGTAACCACTGCATTCCACAATAGGGATAGCTGCATTTCAGTGGTTTTTAAAGCCAGTTCTAAGAAATGAAGCTTACGCTAAAGCACCAACGCTGAGATCAAGCCAGGAAATGCCATCTCCTCCATTATCCGTGCAACAGTATGTTTCATAGAATCATAGTATCACCAAGGTTGGAAAAGACCTCTAAGATCATCCAGCCCAACCACCCGCTTATCACCAACATTTTCCACTAATATAATAAATTTCCTCTTGCTTCAGGAGTGCTGTTCAGTAGAGCAGAGCGTTCTTCCCTCTGCTAAAATATACAGCAGCTCCCCTGCATAATCAACAAATATTAAGATGTTATAATTACAAAATAAACAAGAGAGTTTGGCAAAGCAGATAATGATAACAAAAAGAGACTGGATAGAAAGCTTACCCCTACCCTGGGCTCACTTACAAAACTCCAGCAGAGCTGATCTCCAAAAGAGATCCTTCCCCACTGGCAGCCAGCTCTTAAATAGGGCTAGGAGGAGTGGAGCCTGGCTACACCCCATCCGGCAGCACAGGTGAATTGCTTTCACCTGTGCTCCTCTGGCTGACTCATTACTTGCCTCAGGTGATCAATCAGTGGTTCAGGCCGTGACTCAGCAGTTCCCATACACTCCCCAAGCACGGTTTTGCAGAAACACTGAGAAGGCAGATTAATCATTCCTGTGGCAGAAAGTAAATTCCCTTACAGGGGAGGCTCTGTCCTCTCAAAAGCCCATTCTGACAAAAGCCTTTAAGAGAAGCTGCCCTGCAGGGTCACAGTCATGGAACGATCTAGGTTGGAACTAAACCCTCAAGATCAACTCCAGTCACAACACATTGGATATCCATGTTATAAAAACCATACATACACTTGTTAGCAACGCACTGAAATCTGCTGACTGTGTAAAGGAATGCAGAGAATTAAGAATTCAAATTACTGCCTGACAAACAACTGCTTTTTATTCCTCTTGAATGTGGTAAAGTAAGATTATTTGTGTTGTTTGCATACACAGGTCAAATCCTCACACAGAAGAGGATTTGCACGTTCATGGTTTCCTCTCCTTTTTCCCCTCAGAAGAGAAACACTTTATACTGCTATACTAAAACTTTTACGTATTAAAACACACCGGAATGAGGACTTTCAAACCCTGTGAAGTTCTCAGAAAGGCTTTCCTCCCAAACCTATCGAAGGACCCAACGATGACCGCTCCGAAGCAGCCCCTGACTCGGGTACCTCAGCGCCGCCACAGCCGAGTAGAGCCAGGGCGGCAAAAATGGCGCCGCCCAAGATCGCATCACACCACCCATTCCGCATGTCCTTCCGCCTGAGAAAATAGTCCCTCCCCACTACCTCCAGCCTCTCGGAAGAGGAGGGAACCCCCAGGGCAGCGATTCGGCTCCCTGTCCGCAGGGCGGGCACCCAGCGTTGGCCGCCCGGGCTCAAGGGGACGAGGCGGGAAGAGCACCCAGATCCCTCCGCGCCCGCCTCCAGCGCTCCGGCAGCCCATAGCAACGCGAACGCCCTGTCCGGAGCCACAGGGCGGGCCTTTCCACCAATCAGAATGGGAGCGCCTTGCCGAGTGAGCCAATCGGGAGGCGAGCACGGCCCGCCTCTCGAGTGGGAGCGCTGTGGGCAGCGCAGGCGGCGCTGGTGGCGCAGTTGCCCTGGCGACGCCTCGCGGGGCTGCGGTTGTGGGTGCGGGGCGGCTCCTGCGGCTATGAAAAACAGAACCGAGAAATGTTATAAAAGTTAACTTCTGGAGGGGTTTTACAGCCTTTTTGGCAAAGGGGACCGTTCTACTGCCGGTCTATTCTGCCGCTCTCTTAGGTTTGGGATTTTTGTTGTCTTACTTTGAGGGTTAGCGTTAATTGTCGAAACTCCTAAATTCCCAGAATTGGTTTGCGGCTTAAAAGAGGACGAAATTTTAAACATTTACACATCTGTTCCTTCTCACAGAACAAATGATCCAACTTCAGGCTTTGCTGAAGGAAAGCCTCATCAGAACAAAGCACGTGGAGAACGCAGCTGCGATCGGCATAAATGAAAGGGAAGTCTGCGCTTCCACCTCTGGCTTCTATGTAAGAAATGGGAGCTGCGGGGCGACGGCGGCGGGAGGAGCTCAGAGTGGCGGTGCGGGAGGGGAGCTGCGCTGCGCTGTGCTTTGTGAGCACGTGTGTCTGTGCATCCTCTGGCATTGAGACGTGCTTTCCTAATCCCTGTGACACCACCACCAAACGGTTTTGACAAGGGTACGCACAGCTCCCATTGGGATGCTCAGGGGAATGTGTTCATAAGACTTGCTAACAGAGCCCTAGGGGTTGAGGTAACGTAATTTTAAGTGAACTGTCAAAGAAAGTGGGTGAGTAAACCATGAGTAAAGAGCAGCTTGTCATTGTGAAGACGTACATTTTCAGTCCATAACACTGTGCTGTATGCACACAGGTGCCACCAGAGAACGCCATAAACCTCATCTATGCCTTCTACAAGAACTTGCTGCAAGTTAGAAAGGAAGGACTCTACTTCAAGCAGAAGCACTATAAGTGCGTTCGAGCAGATGAGCATTCCATCTACCTTAAAAATGTATGTTGACAGTTGTGGCAGTCCTGAGAAGTTTGGAAGCCTCCTACTTCCTTCTTTTACTGTCTGGTTGCCTTAGGATGAATGCTTTCATGTGTTTCTTTCCTTCTTTCTCTTGGTATTGCTTTCCCAGCAGGTTGGGGAAACTTATTCACACTGCTGTGCAATAATGCATTAAAGGTGCAGAGCAGGGCAGGTCTCTTCTCACTGGTGACAGGACGAGGGGAAATGGCCTCAAGTTGTGCCAGGGTAAGTTTAGGTTGGATATCAGGAAACACTTCTTTACAGAAAGGGCTGTTAAGCACTGCAATAGGCTGCCCAGGGAGATGGTTGAGTCACATCCCTGGATGTGTTTAAAATCCATTTGGATGTAGTGCTCAGGGACGTGATTGAGAGGAGGGTTGCTGGAGTTCGGGTAGTATGGTTGGGTTGTGGTTGGACTCGATGATCTTTAAGGTCTTATCCAACCTGAGTGATTCTATGATTCTATCATTCTGTGATTAGTCATAAGCAACAATGGGCAATACAATAAGGGTTCTGAGTGACTTTAATAAGCAGCAGTCTTCAAAACATGCACAGCTACTGTTCTGTCTACATCCTTTCTTAGGATTTGAGAGTATTCGTCTTTTCCTCAAGTATACTGGCAAAGGGAATGTGAGTAACCTAAATTGTAAGGCAATACGTATGTATATGCATCTAACTTTGTTCCACTTGTATTATCTAGGCAGATGGAGGCCTCATAGCAGTGAAGACAAAAGCTTTCATCCTGATTGCTACGTACAGAGTGGGCATGTATCCCAGTGTGTGTGTGGAAGCTGTGGAGAAACTCGGTATGACAAACACATGTACCTGTGTGCCTGCATGTCAGTGGTTCACTGACTGGCTCTGCTCTTGAAACAACTTCAAAAATTTATCTGACATACTATCAAAATTTGAAAATCTTGGCAGCCTGAATAGAGCCATGAGTTACTGCTCTCCAGACATCCCACCATGATCCAAAGCTTCCATGGGTACCAACAGGTTGCAGAACTGTCTTTTGCATTGGCCTTTGTGGCACAAGTTTTTTGTTTGTTACCCTTAAACACAGTGGAACCCAACAGTCACGTTTCCTTGACCTCATACAACTAATGCTGAGCCCATGTTTTAACACACATCATATGAGCATGATCTTCGATACTTTGATTCACATTCCATTTCTTCAAAGGCCCATGAGCTTCCCCAGGTGTTTCAAACTTTCCTTCTATGCCTATATGAATCTGAAAACATCATTAAGCTGCTTCCTCTCAAGTTTTGTTTCACAGTTACAAAGCACCTCTTCTCTCACAGAAGTGCCCATTTCCTTCCCTCTTCTGCCAAAGTTCCCTTTGTGGGACTCCTCTTAAGTTCCTCTCTCTGAGGTTCGGTGTTTCAAAGACTTAGGGTTAAAATCTCACACTTTGTTCCCCGTTTGAGACTAAAGCAAAACGTAGCCCTTTGCAGACAAGCTGTGCTCATCTCAGATGTAGTTTTCTCAGTGTGTGGAGGTGCTGGCAAGGATTATGCCAGGGAGACAAATAACAGATACACATCCTATTGCTGTAGTGTGCGGCTGACTATTGGGGATAAAATCATTTTATCACATCATCCAGATGGATTGAATGCCAAAGAGCAGGTTCCAGAGTAGCCCTGGTTTTCACCATGGAAACAGATATTTCTATACCTATGAGTATGCCCATTTTACTGTGTAGGAATGAAATTCCAGATCTAGTGTGCTCAGCGTTGTTCCTTGTCTAGGTGCCTACATGTAAGTGGAATTAATCTGTGTTCTGGGGCCTAAGCTGTTTAGTCTGAAATGAGCTGTAAGACCGACAGCAATAAATTCTTCAAACTTCCACTACATGTTTCCAGAGCCAGATTTCCTGCAGTTTTGACAATGTGAGTTTATTCTTTCCCTTCAGGATGATTTCTTTGTGAAAACAAAGTGGCATTAGCTTTTACTTGCATCTTATTTTTGCAAATGATTTAGGTATAAAGTGATCAGTGTTTATTTTGTAGAACAGATAATACCACACGAATATAGGCATTAGGATTTTGGCTGTGCAATTAGGAAGACTGCTGTCCTTTCAATTAAAGCCTGAGGTGGACTTGAACTTGAAAAAAGCATCTCGATTACAGCAGTTTTGTGTGTGATTTTCATCATTGTTGATTTTTTTTTTTAAATAAATTTATTTCTTTGTGTTTTTATAGCGGATTACTTAAGAGAGAAGGGTAGCTGAATCAGCAGAAAACTCGAACTCCGTCAAGTTCAGAAGGACTGTTCACCAGCAAAACAATACAGAACTCTGACATATTATCCAATTCCAGCAAGCACCTGCTGTTTTATTGCATTCCAGTGCAGAGTGAAGGCTCTTTCCTTTTGTTTTTCTTTCAAGAACTCCTGACAGTTCACAGCTCCCAAGAGGAGTACCCTCTGCATGTATCATCCAAGTTCCTGAATAGAATTTAGAGTGATGCCCACGGGATTTGGTTTAAGATACTTTCCTTAGGCTTTTATATGTTGTCTTTTAGTTTGTTCTCAGATAACAAGGTGATGAATTTTCCTGTGCAAAATAACTCATAGCGTTTCTCTATGGCACCACTGACCCAGGAGGCTGAGGAAATTGCCGCATTAACAGATTTTCAGATTGCTCTGTACACCTTTGAATATTAAAACACATTTTTCACATGTCTGTTTGCACTGTCACTGACTGCTATAGAAATACTTTAATCTACAGTGGATTGGGAAGTTCTGTGAAGACTCAGGAGGAGGGACAACATTGCTACCAGGCTAGAACCATTGAATTGAAGAATCGTTCAGGTGGGAAAGGACACTAAGATCATCTAGTGGATCATGGATCCAAGTTGAGGGAGGGAAGATTTAGGTTGGATGTTAGGGGGAAGTTCTTCACAAGGAGAGTGGTTAGGCCCTGGAACGGGCTGCCCAGGGAGGTTGTGGATGCCCTGTCCTTGGACGTGTTCAAGGCCAGGTTGGACGGGGTCCTGGGCAACCTGATCTGAATGTGTATGTTTGGTGGCCCTGCTAGGCAGGGGGGTTGGAACTACATGATCCTTGAGGTCCCTTCCAACCCGGGTGATTCTGTGATTCTGTGTGTGATTCTGTGATAGTCCAACTGCAACCTGTCCCACCATGTCCCTCAATGCCACATCTCCACAGTTCCTGAACTGTACAGAAGACAACTGATGCTCTGCCTTACCACCAGGTGAAGAACAGGCTCAAGAAAACCAGGTCCCATGATCTTCTCATCTGCAGAAGCAAATAATCTATAGCTCTTGGAGTCATGTGAAAATAAACACATGTAGGTAGTGATAGGACAAGGGGGAATGGTTTTAAACTGAGACGGGGGGGGGTTAGGTTGGATCTTAGGAGGAAGTTTTTCCCCCAGAGGGTGGTGAGGCACTGGCACAGGTTGCCCAAGGAGGCTGTGGATGCCCCATCCCTGCAGGCATTCAAGGCCAGGCTGGATGTGGCTCTGGGCAGCCTGGGCTGCTGGTTGGTGACCTGCACACAGCAGGGGGTTGGGACTGGATGAGCATTGTGGGCCTTTGCAACCCAGGCCATTCTATGATTCTATGATTCAAAGAATTTTTTGCTACATTTGTTTCTAAATTTTTTTAGTTTCAAAGTGTCCAAATCCCAAAATATTAAAAT